TTTTAAAGCTATGAATTATCTGTCATGTGTTTTCCAGGTAATTCAGGCTCCATGTTCTTCATCCAGCCCATTTGAATGAGAATCTACTGAAATTAGAGTTTAGATTTATTCTGCCTTTGCCTTTTGTGTCATTTTTGTGAATTGGAGCTCACGAAACTGGTGTGAATTAGTACCCCAGCAGTTCATACATAGTTCATACATAGCATATCTGAGATGGTACAGGAGATTTTTTTATTCCCCTACTCTAAGCTTTTAAGTGCTAGAAAAGACATACCTGCATTCTGAAGAGTCTCTGAATTAACCCAAGCTGCTTCTGTTGCTCATGTACCGACACCCCTTGCTTTGCTGGTTGGTTCTATCTCACTTTTCCTCCCAGAGTAACGTGCAGGTGCAGTTTTACTTTTTGAATATTAATTTTCATTAAATCACAAAATGGTTTGTGCTGGAAGGGACCTGAAAGATCATCTCATTTCAAACGCCTGCCACGAGCAGGGAACCTTCCACTAGACCAGCTTGAGTTTCATGAGGTGTCTAAATCCTTTCCACTTCAGCCTTCTGCTCTTGCCAGGCTGTTTTCATGATGTGATGTGAATTGCTTTGATAATTAATCATAATCCTCTATGTTTTCTTTCACTAAATAACTGTGGCTGGAAGGTAGTTTCAGAGTGTGAGGCCTTGGAGAGACAATCCTGATCCTGCAGGATTGAAGGGAACCAGGATTTCCCCTCTATAAGTTTAGTGTCCTGACTTAATGATTTAATCAGCAAGTGAAGCAAACACGGCAGTACATAAAGTGCTTTATGTCCTTCAGATTATTTTCCATACATTTAATTACATAAACAGATGATATTTACAGGGGACTTCTGGCTGTAATTGACCTTCATCTTTTCCTGTGCCCTTCCCAACCTCTCCTTGAATTTTCCTATTGTTTCCTTTTAATCATTCCACATTTAACATCACGTTTCAGGCAGTTGTTTTCTCCTGCTTGGAACCATCCCACCAATTCCCCAGAGACCAGGATTCCCAATTCCTTTTAATTCATCTTTTCAGAACTTTTTCATTGGCAGTTTTGGAACTCATGGAGCTCCAAAGCCCAAATTTTCAGGTTTTCCACCAGTTACAGCACAATTGCTCTTTCCTTTTTACATGATCATCATTTTTTTAGGGGTATAGGAGTGTCCTTAATCTTGTGAAAAATTGCTTTTCAGGAGTAGCAGCAGCACAAGGCACATTTAAGGATGCATTTCTTATTTTTGTTGGAATTTTTTTCTGTGTGTGTGTTGGGTCAAGGTGGGGGGGGGGAGGAAATTGCATAAACTGAGAGAGGTTAGAGAAAAGCCATGTTTGGAGTTCAGCAGGGTTCCCATGGCTACTAGGACAGGTACATCACGGAAGCGGGAACACTTTGGCATTTAACAGCCCTTCCAGGTGATTTATGGTTTTACATAAGCTTCTCCAAACCCCAGAGGTTTTCTAGGGTTGGCACCTCTTTGCTTGTCTCCATGCCCTGTTAGTTCTGTGCTCAGTGGCCCGTGGTTATTAAAATTCTTATCAATAAAGGAGTTTCTGAGCAAGGTTCTTATTTTCTGGGCTCGTGCAAACCTTCTGAACTCCTCTGTTTAACCAAAGGAACATTTGTTTTTATGCCTAATGTATTTTATAAAAAGAAATGCGTAGAGTTCAAGTAATATTTGCCTTCAATTACAGTAATTAAGTTGTCAGAACTTGAAGTCACCAAGGGAATGAGAAAATCCTTTCCTGGTTGGCCAGGGGGTATCTGGTGTTCTGGTCCCAAGTGCGTTTTACATCTTGGGGTGGGGAGGGAAACTGTTCAGGCTGAAAACCTGGGAGACTGTTTGCCCTTTTGCAATCCAGGGTGTCCAAACCCTGCTGTGGGTAGAGGGAAAATGCCCTATTTCACTGTGCTTTAGCAGGGCAGCAGGTTTGGATCTGCTAGATCCACGGGCCAGTGGTGTGAGAGTCAACAGGGTTGAGAGACGCACTTGGTCACCACAACCCCCTGCAGCTCCAGGCTGGGGCAGAGTGGTTGGAAAGCTGGAAAAGGACCTGGGGCTGCTGGTTGACAGAAGCTGAACATAAGACAGGGTGTGCCCAGCTGGCCAAGAGGGCCAGTGGCACCTGGACTGTATCAGCAATAGTGTGGCAGGGCAGTGCCTGTCCCTGTGCTGGCACTGCTGGGGCACCTCCAGGGCTGGGGGCAGTTCTGGGCCCCTCAGACAAGAGAGACACCGAGGGGCTGGAGCGTGTCCAGGGAAGGGAACGGAGCTGGGGAAGGGGCTGGAGCAGCAGGAGCAGCTGAGGGAGCTGGGGGGGCTCACCCTGGAGAAAAGGAGGCTCAGGGGGGACCTTCTGGCTCTGCAACTCCCTGACAGGAGGGGGGAGCCGGGGATGGATCAGGCTCTGCTCCCAGGGAACAAGGTACAGGATGAGAGGTAACAGCCTCAAGCTGTGCCAGGGGAGGTTCAGGTTGGACATCAGGAGGAATTTCTTCCTGGAAAGGGTTGTCAGGCATTGGAAGGGGCTGCCCAGGGAGGTGGTGGAGTCCCCATCCCTAGACACGTCCAAGGAACTACTGGACGTGGCACTCAGTGTTCTGGGCTGGGTGTCAAGGTGGGGATAGGGCACAGGTTGGACTCAAGAATCTTGGAGGTCGTTTCCAGCCTAAATGATTCAGTGATGGACTGGGATTCTGTGCTTGCTGGGCTAGGAGGTAGGTCTTATTAAAAACACTCTTACTCTAAACATAGCTCAATCCATTTATCCTGGGAATTCTGTCTCGTCAAACTTCTGCTGCCGCTCCCCTTTCAAATGTCACCTGTATGTGGATGTGTGTGGACACATCCTGTTTTTCCCCATGTTCAACATCTCTTTTTCAGGCTTCTCTGCCAGAAGTCAAATAGTTTCAGTTACTCCATAACCTGCAGGAACACTACAACATATTCCTACCAGAAAAGTACCTGATTTTGATAAGTGCCCACACAAACATTCCTGGAATCTCAAGTGCAGCCTTACTTTCGTTCCACTGGAACAGCTCTCCTGAAAGCAGATGTATGAGGAAATCCACTCGTAATGCATCACTAATGACACCAATTTTTGCATTCCTGCTGATGTGAGTAAAGGGTTATGGATGCAGAAGGAGTCAGACTTGGAAAACCTTCCTCCCAAACCCTGATAAACCCCACTTCAGGCAGCAAGTTTAACGATGCCCCGAAGAGAACCAGCTCACTTATCTCCACCATCGTGCAATAACTGTAAAGTGTGGAGATAAGTGGGTTTATATCTCCCAGTTCTCTGCTGGCCTTCCCTGGGTATCAGTTTATGGCAGTGAAAGTGGCTGTAAAATATTGCTGCCCTGATTTGGTGGTGTTTTATAGTCCCTCCAGTTCACATTCAGGATGCGTGGGCAGAGTGGATGCTCTTATCTCTCTGTGCATTTATGAATGGAAAACCAGGGAATTATCTCAGTCATACTCACCCTATTTGGCTGTAATAGCTGTGGTTTAGCTCCCTTTCAGGAACAGGTTGTAGGGCAGATGTTGGTGAGGATTCCACTCCAACCTGACCTGCTCAGCTTTTCCCATCCAGAGGGGAGTGTTTGGTTACCTGCAGTGTGAACAAGGCTTAAAAATAAAATAGTGAGCTGAGGGAGCTTGGGGGGCTCAGCCTGGAGAAAAGGAGGCTCAGGGGGGACCTTCTGGCTCTGCAACTCCCTGACAGGAGGGGGGAGCCAGGTGGGGATCAGGCTCTGCTCCCAGGGAACAAGGGACAGGATGAGAGGTAACAGCCTCAAGCTGTGCCAGGGGAGGTTAAAGTTGGACATCAGAAATAATTTCTTCCTGGAAAGGGTTGTCAGGCATTGGAAGGGACTGCCCAGGGAGGTGGTGGAGTCCCCATCCCTGGAGGTGTCCAAGGAATGTTGCACTCAGTGCTCTGGGCTGTGTGGCAAGGTGGGGATCAGTCACAAGTTGAACCTGATGATCTTGGAGGTCATTTCCAACCTTAATGATCCTGTGATTCTTTGAAAATCTGGGACACTTCCAAGAGTCATTTGTGACTTCTGCCAAGCAAAAGCCACAAAGGCTTTTTTTTTTGGGTGCTTTGGTATGTATGTGAACAAGCCTTAATTTCAGCTGCCTGTTTGGCTTGTTTATTTTGTAAATCCCAGACAATTTAGCAAATTACATATTTTCAACTTGTTGCATTTGTTGCTTTTTCAGAGTCAGTTCCCTTCCTGCCATACAAAACATCCACTCCACAACTATACTTTGCTTTTAGTTGTATATTTACTCTCTAGATACAAGACTCTTTTAATAACTCCTCACCTGCAACCAGAGTTGAGCAGCTCCTCAGTTCACGTCTGCAGAAGCCTTGTAAGATGTAACCTGTGATGTTGTTTTTGCCATCTGATAACTTGTGATCAAATGGAGCGTGTTTAAATAACAACATCTGGGACACAATGACAGCGAAGCAGCGAAACAAACATTTCGGAGGATCAGATAAGATGGAAGAGATGCCTCAGTGCTGGATTGCTCCCTGGATCTTGAGCCCTTTGCTGGAGAGGGATGCCAGGCATGGGATTTCCTTTGTGCCACGGGCTAATAGATTGTGCTGGATTATTTCTCCTGTAGGTTTATGTCTTGCAGAGACGTGTGCTTTTGTAAAGGGAGTGTAACGCGCTGAGTGTGGTGGTAGTAAACTCAGTCTGCGTGAGTTGCACAGGAGTAGGTTAAATAAGGAGTTCAAACCAACTGAAAATTGTCTTGTTTTGTGCTCTCTCGCTGCCTTCCATCCTTCCACCTCTAAACCTACAGCATCTTTTACATCAGGGCTGCCTCCCTTCCACCCAAACATACACTTTTACAGTTAATTTTCAAAGCACCGCGTTTCAATATTTTTTCCTCTTAACGTGCAGAAATCAGCTTTATATTTAAAGCCATTATTCCTGACTCTCACTCCTGCTTCTTTTTGTTCACTTGCAGGAGGATATCACTGATCCTGAGTCTCAGGAAGACAAGGAGAGCAAGGGCTGGCTCTCTGACCCTGCAGATGGTTCCAACACAGTGAAGAGCGTTCTCACTGTGCAGGAGTATTTTGCCAAGCGCATGGCAAAGCTGAAAGGATCCCGGAAGGAACCAGAAACAAAGGTGGATAATTCCAGCCCAACAGCTGATGAAGCTTTGGATCCTGTGGAAGAGCTGGAAACCAAAGTGAAGAAGAAAAAGAAGAAGAAGAAGAAGAGAGATGAGGAGGCAGAAAGGACAGAGCACTGCGAGAAAGAGCCCGAGACGGGTGGTTTAGATGGGGAGGAACTGGGTACTCCATTAAATGAATGTCACAGAGGGAAAAAGAAGAGGAAACATAAAGAGCAGCACGAAGGGGAAAACACCAACTGTGATGAAAATATGGGCCATGGAGAAATTTATGTGGGAATAGCTGATGGGGAGGATCTCAGTGTGAAGGACCAGGAGGAAAAGCAGAAGAAACACCGTAAGAAGAAACACAAAAGGCAAAAAGAGGAGGTGGAGGAGTGTGTGGAAGGAGCTCCCAGGAAGAAAAAGAAGCACTGCAAGCACATTTAACCATTTCAGAGTCACTCTGAGGTGAATTAGAGAAGGGCTCTGTGTAAACTCAGCAGCAAACACGTTACGCCCCAGGGTAGAACACAGTGCTCCACCTCCAGCTGGGACCACAGCCTGGGTTCAAGTGTCTCTTCTAAAGGAGAACGTGGTGATGGGCTAACATGAGCTTCAGTGCCATTTTAAAAAGGGATCCAGCACGTGATTCAGACTGTGAAAGGCAGGGAACTACTTCCTGCTGCTTCACACCAACTGTGTTTTTCCCAATTCAGGAAAAAAAAATACCAAAAAAACCACTGCCTTTTTTATTAAAGTTATTTTCACTTGTGAGAGCCCAGCTCTGCTTCTGGAAACAGGAGGGGGTTTGCAAAGCTGTTTGTGTTTTTTCACTGATTTTTTTGAAAAGTGGTGTCTTAATTTTTTTCATTGATCTCCTTTTACAACTAAAATGAATGTTGTTTCTTCCCAAAATGTTTACTCTGATTAAAGGTTTACAGCTGAGTGTCAGTACTAGAGGATGAAATAAAAATGCCTCCCCGTGTTTTCAGACCAGTTGTGGTGAAACAGTTGTAACTTTGCACCAAAGCTAAAGGAACTGTGTATCAACCATCTCTGCTTACTTAGATGTGTATTAATCATTTATTAACCATATCTAAATGTGTCATTTATTAACCAAATCTAAATCTGTCATTCTCAGGCAATATTCAGGGTCAGTGATGCATCTGGCATTCAGAAAGTTAGAGAGAGCGAGGTTTTTTTCTGAAATTAGGAGACCAGCAGATTTTCAAAGCACAGTCATTAGTATTGCCACTTCCACATTGAAAACTTGCAATTCAGATTTATAACCAAATTAGAGCTTTTTTCTAATTGTGAGCCTGGAATTAAGTAAGGCTGTGTGAGATCTTGGAATTAAGATCTCGCAGTTGAGCTGTCAGGAGAGATGGGTGAGCTTGGAAGTGGTGGAATGGGAAGAGGGATTCACCATCCTGGTGTCCTGCTCTGATATTCCTTTGGCCACAGCAAATGGACAGCACAGCCCTGAAATCCAGCCAGTTGTCCTGGCCTAATCCAGAATTCAAATCCATGAGCTGCCCATTTCGTTAAGGCCTGGCTGTGTCTCATCAGTGTAAATCTAAACCACTCCATTGGCTGCTCTGCTGAATAAAATGGGTACATTTTTATATTGTCTTAGCTCAGTGGAGTTGCTTAACGTGGTTTGAGAAACATTGTCAAGATGCAGATGTTAATAGGAAAAAAATTTCCTTAAGCTGCCTTTATTGTCCAGTGGAAGGAACTTCATCTGCAGCACAGACCACATGGCTTTGGGTGTTTGAGTTGCAGCTGAACTCTTCCTTTTTTTAAGATCTCTTGGTTTCCAATGCACCTTTTTTTTTTTTTTTCCCCCTCAGGACATGCTCATTCATTGCTGCAAAATTACTGTAGTTTGACTTATTGTATGGGAGAACAAGATGCCTTTCTCTGTGTCTCACATCACATGTCAGTGGTTTTTAACCCTTGTAGCATCTCCTTTTCAGGAGAAATACAATTATTATCCAATATAATCCTGCTTGTTCCTGGCTTCCTTAAATGAACTACCAGTTAATGCTATCAGGTTGCTTTGAAGTTGGGAGTAATCTCCTTGACTGAAATGAAAAAAATTATCTTTATGGTACATCTTTGAATTTTTCTTTATTAGTAGAATCCAAAAGTCTGAGTGTTTTCAATTCTATTTTTCTTTTTTACTTTTAAGCAGCAGAACTTCCCAGTTTAAATGTTTGTTTGTTAGAATCCAAAAGCCTGATTGTTTCTAATTAATTTTTTTTTAACTCTTAAGCAGCTGAACTTCACAACCTTCTGTGGGATTTCAATTCCAAAAGGTCCTAGTCAAGGAATAAGGTTTCCTTCTCCAAATCCTGCTGGGCTTGTTTGTTTGTTCCCTCTATTAATCTTCCAGTTTCTATGTGCTAATTCTTATGGGTGTTTGGCCACATTCCAGTGCCAGTTACAGAAAGAATGAAATTCCTGGAATGAATCTTTAAATTTATGGTGTCCCTGCAGTTAAGTGCAGTATACCCAGGATTTAAATCTGGCTCAGATGGAAGTGTCAGCTACAAATGGAAGATCCTCTCTTTCTACAAGAAATTCATGGCACTTTATCCCAGGAAATGTGGGATTTTAATGTGCCTCAAGCTCTGCATGTGGTGTGGGGAGGGGGGGTGGAGGAATCATAACAAATAAATAATCATAAATCATAAATTGCTTGCATTTGACACAAGCAATTCATTTAAGTGCCCTGCTCTGTGTTAGTGGTCAGCCCTCAAATGTGTTACTCAAATGAAAGGCTCTTCTTACAAGATACTGCCCAGTGAAATTGGAACAACAGGAACATGTTTCGAAGTAATAAATTATACTTGATTTTTTTTTGTTTGGTTGTTTGTAGTGGGTTGTGAGTTCAGTTTTAACCAAACCCTGGTTTGGCAAGAAGGTCTTCTTTTTTAGAAAGCATAAGAAAAAGAATGACATCACTGCCCAAGTGGTGGAATTAGCAGAATGTGAGCACAAAAGGAACGACTTGGTTTCATTTCCGCGAAAATCAGACTTTCAAACTACGGGGTCTTTTGTGGCACATTTCTCCATTGTCCTTAATTTATCCATTGTACTCCCCCACACTGCAGCACAAAAATGATGTTCCTCCAGCAGTGGAATTGCCTAGAAACTGAGCAAAATGGGGCTCTGCTTTCCTGCCCAAGCGGGGAATGATGCACCCGCAGCAGAGATACTGAAACGTGTTCAGTTTTGGTAACCCCGGGTCACCAGAGACAGAGAAGATGATTTTCCTTTTTACACTGGGAGCATTCCAACAGAATGGATTCTCCATTCTTTGCAGGTTTAGGGGTTGTTCTTTGCTTTGATCCTCAGAATTCCCAGTGGGCTCCACGGCCCCTGACGTGGTTTGCAAGTGCAGTGTTAGAGCAGCAGTAGCAGAGGTGCCTTGGGCTTGGAAATCCTGCAAGCACTGAACTATCCTGGGAAGCAGAGGCCATGGAAAAATTGTCCTGGTACCAGCATTAGAGCAAAGTCTGCATGAGCTTTATAGGAGTTTTGGTCTTGGTGTGCCTGGAGCTTTCCTTGGAGCCAAGGGTGGGACACCACGCTGGTGCACTCTGTGACAACCCAGACGTGTGGAACAGGCACCGTTCCTGGGACTTCCTTCCAAGACATTCTATCTCCAGTGCTTTACACACAGCCAGTGTAAAACAGAGTCATGGAATCCTTAAGGTTGGAAAAGCCCTCTGAGATCATCGAGTCTAACTGTTCCCCCAGCAGTGCCAAGGCCACCACTGGACCCATGTCCCCAAGTGCCCTGTAGTAACAGCCAGGGTGAGTTCAAAGCCTAAATGCAAGACACTTTTAAACATTTCAGAGCCACTTACCCTGGGGTTTAAATGGATCTGAGTCCATTTGATGGTATCCAAGATGCAGCTGGAAATTGTGAATTGAAGGTGCTGGAGTGTGTCCAGGGAAGGGAATGGAGCTGGGAAAAGGGGCACCAGGAGCAGATGAGGGAGCTGGGGGGGCTCAGCCTGGAGAAAAGGAGGCTCAGGGGGAACCTTCTCACTCTCTGCAGCTCCCTGACAGGAGGGGGGAGGTGGGGAGGGACTCAGGTTCTGCTCCCAGGGAACAAGGGACAGGACGAGAGGAAATGGCATCAAGCTGTGCCAGGGGAGGGTCAGGTTGGGTATCAGGAACAATTTCTTCACCAGAAGGGTTGTCCATCCCTGGCACAGCTGCCCAGAGCATTGGTGGAGTCCCCATCCCTGGAGGGATTTAAAAGCCATGTGGATGTGGCTCTCGGGGACATGGCTCGGTGGTGGCCTTGGCAGTGCTGGGGGATGGTTGTGCTCGGTGATCTTTTCCAACCTAAATGATTCTGTGACTCTGAAATGCATTTGGGGACAGCTCAGCATCATGTTCCTTGGTGCAATTCCCCTTTAGGCAGCCCTGGTTCTCACTGCCTCAGCTCAGCATCAAAAATGAGCCTCTTGCTCCGATGGAATGAACCGAGTTCGTCCTGTTTTAAACACACGAGTCCGAAGTTCTTGCAGGATCCACCTTCAAAAGGCACCGTTTACGTCACGAAACCTCCAAACCTGCCAACACTAAGAGGAGGAAGGAAGCTCCAAGAAGAGAGGAAAACCACACAAAGTCTCTTGGAAGCACTGCCCAACATCACGCCTAGCTGGAAAAAAAAGATCTTGGAGCTGTGTGTCCTCGAGCAGCATAAAGACTGTGGGCCTCCAAAGCCATCCTTTTGCTTAATTCCTTCTCATTCCTTGAGCAGGAACCTCCAGGAAGGTTCAGAGCTCAAAGAACTTGGGACAACAACCATGGCTTTTGTCTCTATACCTGTCCCATCCAGGGATAAACCAACTTTTTTTCTTGCATCAGCAAACTTTTAGTGATGTGGGCCTGGGAAATGGAGGAAAAAAAAAATACATATTTTTGTGGTGGTAGAAGTGGGACTATTGTTACAAAAAACAAATTGAAGCTCCATTTCTCAGCAAGTGAGAACTTAAAATCCGCTTCTGAGTCACTCAAAGAGTTTTGTTCATATCTTAATCCATTTTTATAAATTTTAAACCATAAGAGGGAAACTCTTGCTGGTTCCTTTTGACCTAAAGGCATTAAAATATATTTTTTTTTTTTAAAACTTAAAGCAGCATTTTAAGAAGAGTAAGAGGAGAAATATTCAGCACTATGCATGCTCGCTGAAAATTTAAGCATCTTTGGGGTTTTTTGCCTGCATTTTTTTGTATAATGGGAAAGCTCTGGTTCTTTTTCCTAGAAAATAAATGGTGCAGGTAGCGATCCCTGGGGAAAACCTGGCGGGATCAGGGAGGATGGGCGGTGGGCAGGGTTGGGAACTGCAGCTCTTCTGCTGGGAACCCCCAGCTGTCTGTGCAAAAACTCCCCTTGGGAGCCTGAGAGTTTCATCAATAATTAAGGAACATGTGAATATTGAGCTAATTTAGGATTTGCACTTTCTCACACATTTTAATGTCCCTGTCGGTGGCGGGGGGAGGGCGTGGGGGAGGTGGTGAAAATAAACCTGCACTTTGCAAGCCGAGTAAAAAGCCAGATGTGGGATCCACCCAAAAAAAGAAAAAAAGGGGGATATTTTTAAAGGGTGAGGATGCTCATTCCATATTGGGTTCGGTCACTAATTCTCTGCCTGACCCAGGGGAGTTGCTGCCACTGTTCCCCAGCCGTGAAAATGGGGAGAACAAAGCTTTCTTCCCCCCTTTGTCTGCTCCTTCTATTTTAGCTTTTAGCCGTAATTTCCCTGTTCCCGAAGCCCTGGGAGAGCTCTGCTGCTTCCTGTGCCCCAGATACAGGTGAAGCCTCCCACCAGAGCAGGGAAGGTGAGCGTGGAAAAGGTAAATGCCAAGTTTTTTCCAGCCTGCTGGTAATTACCCCGATACGGTGGCAATGAAGAGGTGGCATTTTCACCCCTTTATGTAACCCAGCAGCTTCCTCCAGGACAGG